CAAAATAACAGACACTTGACGTAATTTATTACAGAAATTTGATACTTGACATAAACCTTGCCTCAAAACACACATGACATAAACCTTGTCTCAAAACATACATGACATAAACCTCTCATAAACATTGTCTCAATACACACATGACACCAACCATGTTCTCAAAACAGAAATTACATATAATTCATACAATACAGACACGACTAAAAGTTTTCTTTTGGATTGTTTCTTTTTGTTGGAGTGGTCCTCCTAGTTGTAGGATCCACTGCATTTTGTGATGTATTAAGTTTTTAGTTGGACCTTTTGTAACAGATGAGTGAGTAGGCTTCCTAACATGTAATTTCTTTGGCCTCCCTCCTTGCTGAGATGACTGAGTTATTTGAGATGGTTGTGTTGGTGGCTAAGATACTAGTATTGCACCCTTTGTAGCAGATGACTGAATAGATAAAGCACTACAAGAAAATTGGCAAATTGTGACGGTTCATTTTGATAGATTACGACGGTTTTAACCGTCGTAATTTGTAAGTTACGACGGTTTCAATCCCGTCGCGGAAACATGCGTCGCGAGGCCTTATTGCGACGGTTGTGAAAATTGTCGTATAAACCGTCGTTATTTTCACGACAGGTAGCTAACTGTCGTAATCTCCATATTGTGACGGTTTTCAACCATCTTAACTTGCTTAATGATTTTTTATTGCGAAAGTATATTGTGGCGGTTCGAACCGTCGCAAGTTGCAAACGTTTTTGTAAAAAAAACTATGGTATATTGTGGCGGTTTGAACCGCCGCAAGTTGCAAATATTTTTTTAAAAAAAAATCTACAAATTCTCGACCACCAATATTTCCAAGCTACAAATTACCACCAGTATTAAGTGAAATATGATGAAAAAACATTGCAGCAGATTCTGTTTACCTCATATGTCACAGCCCATTAAGGATCTGCTATCCAAATTATCAACCTTACAAACCTACTTGTTATGCATATATTACTGTAGCGGTAAAAATCGTGAATATAAGTTATTAATTAACTTAACTCAAAAAAACAAGAGTCGCCACCGCACTTTTATTTTATCCAAATAAAGGGAAGGAAAAAGAGAGAACAAAACCAAAGAGTTCTAAAATAAGAACACGAGACAGAGATCGGGGTAAGGGGGTTGGTTACGCAATGGGAAGGTGTTAGCACCCAAAACGTCTATAGTACTCTATAGGAGCCCTTTGAAATATTTACGCTTTTTGGTTTGAAAGTGGTTTGTTTGAAAAGAGATTGGGGAGATGAGAAGAGAATATTTTTTTAGATTTTTGTGTTTGGAGAGACTTATCGTCTCATGCCTACGTACCCATAAAGTGCAATATGGAATCAAAACCCCGTAGTTCGTGGTACAAATGACAAAAATTTGTTGGTTTTGATTGATTTTAGATGTAAAGACAAGTCGTCATTTCAAGGAGAAAACTGCGACTATCCACCCACGAGTATTAAGACAACATCTGCGTCACATAAAGATGGAGGATTTGCTTGGATTATCAACAAGACTATCACTTAACATCAACGTGGAAAATGTCAAAGTCTTAATAATATGGGGAATAGGAGATTTACATCTCAACTATAGAAATGAATCATGTCTAAACTTTATGAAAAGTTTTAAAGTGAAAAAGTGCATAAAGGCACAAAAAGAGTTGATGAGTTTTTGTATTTTTTATGTCTTTTGAAATTGGTCAAAGCATGATTAACATTGATTGACTTTTATTAAGAAAAAAACAAAGTTTAAAAATCACTTGACGAAAGTCAAGGTTTTATTGCGAAATCGGTTTTGAAGTTTGAAACCAAGAAGGTTTTGAAAGAGGGAGAAAGTTTTGAAAATTTAAGAAGGGGAGGAGATGAAGTGACTATCCTAAAAAACAAAATAAGAGCTAGAGGTAAGAAAGATCTAACCGACTTGTAGCACACTCCAAAGCAAGCAAAAAGAATTCCATCTGATTTAAAGCATAAGCTAATGAGCGAGCCAAATAAAGGCTAAGATCCACAATACTCCAAGCATAGGAATGAAAGTCCTAATTCTAAGTCCAAAAGTCCAAGGTCTAAGAGTAGTCCAAAAGCATAACCACAAAGTTAATAGCACCAAGTTTTTTAGAGATTTTTTATCCTTTATTAGTGTTTTGAACAAGATATGGTCCAAGTGGACAAAAGAGAAATGTCATAAACATAAACAAAGATATGATATGAAATGATAATATGGAAGCATAAAAGTAAGAAATAAGGAGTAAGAAGAGAATATAAACAAAATTAAACAAGGATAATGTTAGTGAATTAGTGGTTAGTGGTTAGAACATATGATCAATGATGATTAATTCTTGCACTTTAGACCAAGGTTAATGAAAACTCATTAGAGGATTGATAGAATCAAAGCCTCCTAACAATGATTTTCATAGGTATTGGACTTAAGACAAGCAACTAAACATACTTGGACTTTTAAACGTAAGTTTGAGCCACGAATGATCATTTTCCGATTAAGGGACACTTTAGCGCTATGTTAAGCAATCGTAATCGGGTTTATGTAGAAACCACGACTATCTGAGGCCGGTCAATAAAATGTTAGTGTTAATACATGTTAGAGAAGTGATATGTAAATCACTCTCCTAAAACATGCCACACAAAAAGAAAAGAGGTAGTGATCTCATCATAATCAAGATTTTTAATTAATTAATCAAAGTAATCTATCACTATTCCAAAGTAAGGAGAATTATCTCAATGATTATTCATCCATAGATTTGAAATAATGAAGATTAAACAACCTTGATAATCAACAATCTATGATCCATAGATTTCATCGATCAAAAATAAAAAAAAAAAAGGAAGAAAGAAAATAAGAATGAAAAGAAATCACAATTTGAATCTTAAATCGATTAAATTATCATCAATATCAATCACCTCTCTTGGTGGATAAAAATCAACACCCAAAGTCCATTGATATTGATGAAATCCTATCAAAATTCAAGATCCAAAACCACCAACAATTGATCAAAATGTTTTCAAATAATTTTTTTTAATGCTTTCTTTTTCAAGAATATTATTATTATTTTATAAAAATAAACTAATAACAATATAAAAGAAAAGGCCCACACGGCCAATTTTCTTAAAAGAAAAGATAAAAAAAAAAAAATGAAAAAACAATTTAAAAGGAGAAAGAGAACAAAAACATCATCTTCTTCTTTCTTTCACACGGTAACTCTTCACACCATTTTTGCGAGCTCAAAGCTTGCTCAAATCAAAGCGACGGGATGCAAAAATCACACCGAACAGATCGAAATCAAAAGTTCTTCACAACAGTACCAACAGTTCAAAGAATCATAACAAAAGGTAACGGATCGAAAATGACGGTGAAGCTCAAACTACCTTCAAACTCAGGTAAAATGATGAAATTGAAACTCTCTTCTTCTTTCTTCTTCTTCTGAATGAATTCTGGTTCGAAATTGATCTGTGTTTGAGGTTGATTTGAAGTTAATTTGGTGGAAGGAAGTATGAGAAGAGAATGTGAGCAAAAGGTTTTGTATTGAGGAATTGAGGAAGAAAATCAGCAGAGATTTTTTGGCTTGAAAAGCTTGAAGAAAAGAGTGAATAAGGTGTTCTATTTATAGATGAGAATGAGTGAAAATGATTTGTCGTTTGTGAGATTTTTTTTTCTGCGTTTTGGGATGCAAGTTATGTGTGACCTGTTGTGATATTTTTTCATGTCGTTTTTGCTTTCACATTTGTAGCTCACGAAGTCGTTTTTTCCTTTTCACTTTTTCAGCTCACTTGGGTGACGTGGATTATTTTTCAGCTGGCTCATATGCTATTTATTTTTTGTTTCAGCTTGTGAATATGGCTTGGTTAATGGCTCACATTGATTGATGGCTGAAGTAGTGATATATTTCACTTATTTCATATGGACTCAGTTCCTCTGGTGCAGGACTGGAGTTTTGCGGTTGTTGCTGGTTCTGAATTATACAGGGATCGAGTTCGGTAATACGGCAAAACCGTTCATACCAGAATCTTCCTGCCATGATTTAGAGAAACTACAAAAGGTATCTTTTGAGGAAACGTGAAAATTCACCGTGCTTTTGGCAATTGCACCGCATATCCAAACACACCATAAGTAGAAAAATAACTAACTTTCAGTATTCATCAATCTCGCAAGATGAAGCGTCAGCTCAGATAACAAGCTATGAAGACCCGGAGTGCAGTTTTCACAAACCATATGACATTCAAATTGAATATGTTTGGTGTGCTTATGAAATCTTCGATTTTGAAAAATTTAAATTACAGACTTCTTGTTACAGTAGAGGCTCGAAATCCACTTATAATTAGAGAAGCAACTGGATTTCACACAAAGTTTCAGCATGGATACTGTAGTTTGCTTTTTTGACTTCCAGTATATGAGGGAGGAGCCCAAAAGAATGGATAAACCAGTCTTGGACATCTGGGTTCAGCGCATGTGGCTCGGTCTGAATCAGTGATGGCAGATAGCTTGAGGTCTGACTTAGAAGGAAAAAGTAGTCATTTTCCTTGGCAGCCTTTAATGTAATGCGGAGTCCGAGTCGCAGCATTATAATGCACTTGCATTAAATTGGAGCCAAACTATCTGAGAATAACCTGTATATAATGTTTGGATCCTGTCCAATAGGAGCATAATTTTAACTTCCGTAACCCTTAGTGTATCTATAATCCACTAGTATCCTCTGGTTTCGATCTGGCTGGCCACAAACAAAGCATCCGATGTCACTAAGCAATGGCCATCTCAGCTGAAATCAGTTATGGGCTTTGAGAAGGTAGAACTGCTTGATAGTCGACACCCTGATTTAGCATACTGCACAAAAGATTATGTCAGACATAAAGCTTTGTGCATAATATTGGTCAACAGTCGTAACCCAAAATAATCATAACATAAAACCATAACATTTAGCAAATACATTGATTTAATGCTGATCCCTTCCTGATTCTGCTCAGATAAACCTGGCTGCAGTGTTTTACAAAGCCATGACAAAGATATCATCATCATGTAGCAAATATCCTACTCCCAAATCATTGGTCGATAACTGAGTATTGTTAATTTCATATAGCATCTGGAAAATCATATGAGAAAGCGGATGAGAAAGGTCTCCTTGGTAAAATTTATGTTCTTTTCCTGCGATATTTATCCAGCTACAGCCAGGAATTTTAACCAAGCCTAAACCCTTCATCTTTGCTTTAACAGTTGAAACATCATGAGCCATACCACGAGATTGATAAATTCCACACAATGCTACATAGTTGCTAGTATTATTTGGCTCTAATTGAAAGAGACGATGTGCTGCAATTACTCCAATTTCGACATTCTTGTGCATGGCACAACCAGCAAGAAGAGCACCCCACATGCTTCCTGTCAATGACGAAGACTTCATTCTTTCCAACAACCGAAGGGCTTCCTCAAGATACCCACATCGGCTAAAAAGATCCACCATACAGGCATAATGCTCAGCAGTGGGCTCAAATTCATAATCTGAAATCATCGAGTCGAACATTTTCTTGCCTTGATCCAACAAACCAGAGTGGCTACAACTAGCTAAAATAGCTGTGAGAGTGACAGCATTTGGTCTAAACCCCTCATTTATCATCTTCTCAAACAGAAAAACTGATTCCTCTCCCTTTCCATGCATCCCATAACAGGATATCATAGTCGTCCATGTCACCAAATTTGCACAGCTCACGGTCTTGAAGACATTTTCTGAATCCTTCAAGCTACCACATTTTCCATAATTATCAATCAATGCATTCCCAATGGGAGCATGAGCGTCAAAACCAAAGTTCCTAACAGTAAAGCCATGCACTTCCTTCACTTTCAACAAATCCCCTTCAGGGAGTTTCTCAAGCATTTCTCGCATGCAGTAACAATATTGACTACAGTTGGCTCCCACATTTCACTTAAAGCGGTCGGGATGAGGGCTAACGTTTTCGAATGTCAATGGCACACCAATATCAGTAAACACGGTAACTTCTCTTTTGACAGAACCGCCAACCCGAGACCTTGGCTTCCACTTTCGCGTGAAGAAAAACAGAACAATAAGTGCTATAAGAACCGAAACAATGGCTGAAACAGACGTTATTGCTGCTATCTCAATAGCATTGAAACCATTATCACTATTTTTTCTTGGAGTTTGTGATGTATTGGAAGAATTGTCATCAAACTGTCCTGGTTGATTTGCTGATGGAACAGTTAGAGAAACGCCACGGCAGGAACTTAGAAATGGATTTCCAACAGCACTGTTGCATTTGATCAAGGTACTATTTGATGGCAAGTATCCAGATAAATTATTGAAAGACACATTAAATGCAGTGAGTGTAATAACATTTGCCAAACCAATAGGAATCTGTCCAGAAAGTTTGTTGACATGACAGTGTACCAAATGTGAAGATCCATGAGATAAATAGCCACAACAGGAGCCCACAAGCTAACTATAGTCAAGGCATTGTTATTATTCTTTGAGATAAAATCATGCCAAGAGTAAGTCAAAGATGGAAGATCCATAATGATATTGGTAGGTTTAACAAGAGGTTTTATCTGGAGAAAGTATGCAAAAGTAAATTTGCAAACAAGTACGATCAACCAATAGACCACATACCTGCAGTAGATTCCCTAGATGCAAGATTTGAACTCTTCTCTAGTGGCACAGCTTCAGCTGCAGCATTGCTTGATTGAGGTCTATCAACATCCATTTGGTAGTTAGCATCTGATCTTCTAGGATTCGATGATGAAGAGTGTGAAGGCTCTAAGTGATGATCAAGAACTCCGCGCCTTAATTTAGAAAGATCTTGCTGATCTGCTGAAGACAACAGTGCCTCATTCTGACTTGAAATAGGATGAGTAGGATCCAAGATACCAGAACGTGGTCGTGGAATCGAACCATCCACTAAAAATCCTCCGCCCAACAGACATAGATGCTAACCGGGTTGACTCATTTAAGCTATAAAGTGTATTTATGAGCCTAAAGAGTATGCCATTTTTTGCAGCTATCCGACAAAAATCATTTCTAGGCGTTGACTGCTGAAGCTTAAATACCTGCCACATGCCATCAATAGCCAGATGGACCATTTCCTCTCCTATTGAAAATTCAATATTGCCAAGATGTAAAATTGCAGCAACCACTTGAAATATTGCTTCCTGCTCTTCAGAACTTATTCCAACAACATCCATTGCTTTTCTTGTATCAAAATATTCTTTAGACTCATCAAGCCCTTCTATCTCATAGCAATTTGTTTGATTTAGATAATGAAATGTTCTTGGGTTTCCTAATTTATACTTCTGAATAACCTCCGGTGGTGCAGCACAAAGCATATAGAAACAGTGATAATTCCTCTCTGAATTCGACAACCGGCCAACGCGTGATCTTTCCTTCTTCCCTGATGAATGAACAGATCCTGATAAACCCCTTAACAATGCCTTCTCTTAGATTAACAGGGTAGTCTTAAGGAGGTTGAGTAACATAGGTTTCCAAACGAGCTTGTGAGTTTGTATTGGCTAGAGCAAAGCTCTTGGTCAAGGTTTCGTAGCATGAATTCTCAATTTCTATTCAAAACCTACCTTCATTGTTTGTTTTTTTTACACATCTCTGATAAAATGAATACAACTATTTTTGGGCCAAGGAATTACTTGTACCTGAAGCAACAATCATTTAAAATCAAATCCTGACTTTACCCTGATAGATTCAAAGACGAACCATTGAATAATTTGCAACTGAATCATCGGCCATCAATTTTGATTTTTGACATAATTCTCTGAATATCTGGACCAAACTTCTCATAGAACACTGCTTGATAAATCAATGAATTTCAACACAAGACAATTTGATCTTGAAAAATCACATTTCCTGAGAAAATAGCCCACCACCACGGGTAACTTATAGTTGAAGCAAACTCTTGATAGTTTGACCAAGATGAGGTCAAACGTCCATCTGATTTAAACTTGAATGAATTTCTTTGCCATTAATCTCTTTGTAAAACCCTAAACACACAGAGAAAAAGAAGAAACAAACAAATTGAAAAAATATTTTTGATATTTTGGTTAGATGTTAGTAAACAGAAACAAACATAAAGAAAGTAAGAAACCCATAAGGGTGCGAAAGCTAAAAATATGACCTTGTTTGTGGAATGATATGCCAATGAAATGTGGGATCTTAGGGGTAAAAATTAGGGTATTACAATTACCTATAAAGTTTACATTATTAAAATCAAAGTAGTTCATCTAGCAATGATCTGCTATCCAAATTTTCAAATTATAAACACAATCCAATTCAATATTCAAAATTACTTTTTTTAATCAACATCTCTTTACATAAAAAAAAAACCTTCGACGTAATTGTGTTCACTAATAAACATAAAAAAAAAATTCATTAGCCACACATGCTTCAACAAATTGAGCCAGATAACACCCAATGCAATTATTAGCAAATGCAGAAAACATTTCTCCTCCTTTCAATTCCTTTTTGAGTGTATCCTTAAACATTTCTTGTAGTGTTTCTGCATCAGGATTTATATGAATCTAAGTATACATAAATACACACCTAAAAAAAATGAAAATAAATGTTAAGTACTTAAAGTGTGATATAAAAAAATATATAACCTTTAATGGCTAAAGAAAAAGGGAATGGAAAATACTTTGCATAATCATCTACTGCTATGCCTCGTGTATTTATAAATTATGTGAACTCTTAAAATTAATACTTCACTAAAAAAATTGAAATTGAAATTTGCAACACAAATAATTAAAGACATGCATTTTATGATAAGAAAACATTCAGAATTGTCATATGAAAGTCTTACCTCAGTTACCAATGTCTTGCAACTCCAAACAAAGGCTCCCTGAAAGCATGCAGAGTTTAAATCTTTTGTACATATAAATAGAGCATGACACAATAACAATTACGTGACAACAAGGGAAATCATACTAAAATCATAATAAATTTTTATTTCCTTAGTTTGCATATAATAACAAGGAAAGAATTATAAAGACAATTAACAATCAAGTTGCTTCAATTTTACTCAAGTTTTGCTTTTGAATCTGCAGCCTTGAAATTGAATGGTCCTGCATATATTCATATTTCAAAATCACATAAATAAAAGGGTTTCTTTATGTTCTGTTTAGTGTTTTAAGAACATTATTCATCCACTTTTGTTTTAAAATTATTTTGGAAACATAATGCAAGCAATAAAAGACAACAATACTCTAAATTGAAGTTAGAATATATCATCTCTATTTGCTCACTTAACAAATGGCTCTCAAAGAAACTTACAAATGAGGAACTTACCCAAACTACAAATCAATGCCAACCGTCATGAAATAGAAGCTGAAATTTTATCGGTGTGGCCCTTCAGCGAGTATCCACTTTCAAAAGCAACTCTGCTAGTGGTATCAAATGTTGTGGGTGCCATCGATGGATACTATAATGTTGAACCTAACAGAAGCAACATGTCCTAAAAGTAATATGTCAGAGCTTTATTAATGTTGCAGAAACATAATGAATCCATGTTGTGACAAACAATAAAAAAGCACTGCAACCTCCTTGCTTCGCACTTGAATCTAGATATGAATCCACCTTTCTTCACACTTAAATCTATAACTATAATTCCACATTCATCCTTAAAAGCAACCGGGAAAAGGCTAAGACATAAAACGCAACCTTCAAGATCTTAAAACAAAACACATTATAATATAAAAGTGTTGTAAACTGATGACCGGGGAAAAGCATCTATGCAATGCTTGAAAGTTAAGCATGAACCAACCATTGAGGGGCACATATGTAAAGGTTAAGCAAAGATTGTAGTGAATAGAGTCAAAACCATAACAGTGTTATTAGAAAACAGAACAAAAAAGTAAACCATAAAGACTTCATGTCAGTCTTATAGGTAACTATAGAGAGCTTATTGAATAAAACTCTAATAAAACTTACTGAATAAAGAGCTTACTAATAAAACTCTAAAAGATTTTTTGGGACTTGTGAAGTGCTTACACTAGGTAATTATAGAGATCTTATTAAATAAAACTCTAATAGAGAGTTTACTGAATAAAAATCTAATAGAGAGCTTACGGAATAAAACTCTAATAGAATAGGCTTGAAGCAAAATCTAACTAATCAGAATTCTAAGTCTAATGTAGCACTCACACTGCGAAATCTTTCGAAACAAGCTTCTAACATATTGAGTCCCCTAAGTTACAATATTTTCTATCCAAGTATATCGAATAAAAGGCCGAAGAAAAATAATATTAGAATTAAATCAACACAAGAATTCAAAGATAAGTATGAGAATGCGTGAAAGATATTGTCAACCATGCCGGATAATGTCACGGGGTAGTCATTACTGTTTTGCTCACAGTCAATTAAGAGCATTCTAGCAAGTGTACTAGAAAGAAACCATGGCCCACTCGAACCAGATATAATGACAGGGAGATGTAACTTTATATGCTATTAAAATACAGTAGTGACTACAAGCCACTGAGAGTGCATATAATCATAACAGTCATCTATCTAGAGTTCTTCTTATATCATTTATTTTCTAATGAACCACCACTAAAGCATCCATGTAATAGACCCAAAAGTGTAGAATTCGCGAGTTACAATGGCGGACAAGACCTTTTAATGCATATAATGGCACACAAACTCTTTTTTTTTTACTTTATTAGACAGTTAATAAAAGAAAATGTAAGCAACTTTCATGTATGAATGCACTTAAATTGACAGTAGGTAAATCAACAATAGGTAATCTTTTAATATTATACATAAAACTGATCTTCAGTTACCTCGTAGCTTTTCTTGAATAATTCTTCAAAAGTTTGAGCAGTGCCTCAACTCTAAGACAATCATTAAATTGCAACTCCCTA